GGGTGGGTGGGTGTGTGGGTGGGTGTGTTTGTGTGTATGTTTTTAGTTCGTGCGTATATGCGTTGAGTTAGCTGTTGTGGGACCATGCCGTCTGCGCACATGAGATGAACGTAGACATGCTACGCACCCCTCCGTGGATTAGTCAAATATTGTCAAATATGTTGGCTCAATTCATGTAAAAACGTGCATCCTGAAGATATGCAAAACGCACACACATGCACACGCAAAAGATTACGCACTTCCATTCATGTGTAGCCAAGGCGTACCTAACCTAGTAGCGGCACCCGTGCGTAGCAGGCCTTACAGAGTAGCATGTACCATACTATTTGCCTTGGTCTTTTCCTTTGGCCTCTTCGCGTTCGAATCAAGTAACCATGCATGTGGCAGCTTCGGAGACTGCCATGCGGGAGCCTATGCGTTTACACAGGTGTTTTCTGTCTGTGTGTATATACATATATTTATACAAATACATACATACTTAATGAATGCACACGCATACGTACATACATGCATAAGCATATGTTGTGTGTATGTATATACATATGTAAATAAAATAAAGAAATATGCATATATGTATATTAGTACTATATCTATATATATATATACATGTTTGTTTATTTGTTTACTGCTTATTCTGTAGATACCGGTTCCCGATTCGCCGACCAAACCCGCCCTCCTCCACCCTCCGCCCTACCGCCGGCCCACCGCCCCCCCGACCCCTTCCCCATGCCTCCGTCCGGTCGTTGCCGCACGAACCCTGAAACACCTTGCCAACCCTGATAATACTTGCAGCATAGCAAGGAGTGACACGAAAGACCCCAAGCAGATCCAAACCACGAACCAACCACAATACGGGGGAGGCGAGCCTACCAACCATGATGATAATATTCCCGAGCCCCAAACCACGAACGGGGGGTGGGGAGGGGAAGGGGGGCGGGAGGTCGGGCGCACTGGCATCATCATCATCATCGTCTCTCTCTCTCCCCTCTCTCTCTCTATACATTTTTTATCTGTGTGTGTATATATATATATACATAGACATATAATAGGTGTATATATGGATATATATATATATACATATATATATAGAGAGAGAGATATATTGATTCATATATACACACATCTATCTATCCATCTATCTTGCAAAAGCCAACATATCTATCTATCTATTTATCTTTGTGTTTGTGTAAACAAGTAAATAAATGAATAAATAAGTAAACAACTCAAGAAATAAGTATACATATATATATATATGTATGTATATATATATATGTATATATATATATATACAGACACACACACACACAGAGACAGACATACATACAGACCTATGATATAGATACCGGTATAGCCCGACAGAGTTACAGACAGAGATGCACATATACATGCTCGTCCAACCAGGCGTGGGTCTTTGCAGCTGTCCATCAGCCCCAGCTACTGGCAGGCTTATTCTGGAGCCCGGCTTGCCGCTCAAATCACAGAGCAAAGTAGGGGAAACAGGTTATTTTTGCAGTGATGTGTCGGAGTTGTGATTGATATAGCAGGTTTTGCAGTTCAGTCTATTGCCTGTTATACACTGTTCTGAAGCGCGAAGTGGAGAATTCTAACCCAGAATTCGCGATCCTTTCTGAAGGTCTTGACGGGCCACTTCAAGGGCGACCCGAAGACCTGCTATCTTGCAGAGCTGCCGTGGTGTGCGTGTGCCTCCATAATGCGTTTCATTTGCGAGGGAAACTCGCTGGATGCGGCCGAAGCTGTATGGAGCATCGAGAACTATGCAGCATCTTGGACTTCGAAACAAAATCTAAGCAGCGCAGCAGGCAAAGCCACGTTGCATTAATTGTAAAGCTACTACTAAAAGTCATGAGTCATGGCGAACAGTAAAGATTGGGGGAGTCTTAGAAGCCTGAGGCCCTGCAAAATCCCAGTGGTGTCCTCTGTATCATTGGCAGGATATGCCCTCGACGGATGATTGGCTCTCCGAGTTTTTGGAGCAGCTGCCAGCCACGCCAAAAGCGCGAGAGGGCGACACGGCTCCACCTTGTTAGAGCTACAGGTATTCTTGGTTTTCAAACTGGCGAAGTCTGTTCTTCTGCTTTGACGTAAGGAAGTGAGTGCAGCGAAGCGAATTCGCCAACATCACCCATTGTCCCAGAAAGTGAGTGAGTGCTCCCCGGTCGGGCTTCGTGCACAGCTGCTTTGAGACTGCAAGGCTCAATGATTCAGTTGTACAGCAAGCCTTCTCAGCACCTGTGCACTACAGTGGTGTGTTTGTGCGTAATTAGTGCACAGCACGTGCACGTGATGAACATATTGCGGCACGTGGTAGGCAGCCTTATTATCTGCCGCACGTGCTATTTCGGATGCGAGTCGGAGTTTGCAGAAACTGTAGTTTCTTCTCGGATTTTCTTAACAACTTGCATGCCCCCCTGGATTCCTTCTTTCCGTTCTTCCTTCCGTGCTTGCGCCATTCATTCTTCCATCGGTTAGGACCAGGGTCACTGGGCTGGGGCACAGCTCAGGGTTGACCCAGGCAGGGAACATGCAAGTCCTGCAGTTCAATGAATTGGTTCTGTGGCTCCAGCAGTCAGTGGCCCATGCGATGCAGGCCAGATGTTCGGCGCCACGCAGCCGTTCGGTGCCACTGGTGGAGGATTGCCCGGCACCTGGTAGTCCTGCCTGATAGGCATGGTAAGACCTGCTTCGTCCGCCGCAGCTAGTCATATAGTCAAGACCTGTCAATTGTGGGCAGAAGCCCTGTTCTGACAAGCCGAATCCAGAAGCACGTTGTGTGCAACCTCGTGTTAGCCATGAGGTTCGGTGGCGGTGGCTGCGGTGGATTCGGCACACCACAGATCAAGGATCCAAACACGAATCAGGACTTGCAACGACAGAAAGCTTGCTGAATGGTAGGGCAAGGCTAGTCATCCAAGGCTCTGTCCGATGGAATACCTGTGTGCAATACTTCGCTTGATGGTACCCTTGAATTCGCACAAACGGTTTAGTTCGGCGTGGGGCTCGCGTGGCAGGCGCGGCTTGGTTACGTAGTGTGTTGTATTTCGGACTGTAGGGTTGAATCAAGGCGAATTCTTTCATGTTTGCGTGCGGGCGGTATATACATATGTATACATATACATATACATACATATGTATGCATGTGTATGTATGTGTGTATATATATATAATATATAGTATATAATATGTAACATGTAGGCAACTCATGCAAGTTACATATATATATACACATAGAAAGGTTTATGATATGTACGGTGCAGCGCTGCCAGGCCCCCGTCCCCCTTCACCCCATGGTATCCCCCCCCCCTGGGTTCCCTGTGGTGTGGGTTTCCCCCCCTGCCCGTTCCCCGAACATGGTGATCGTGATCCTCATCCGCACTCTGCTCCGGTTCCTTGCTCAAGTCCGAATGAAAGTCATTCAAGCACATGCCCGGGCTGAGTTTTGAAGCACCCATCCAAGTTTGATCACAGTATGGCAAGGGTCGAGGTACGAAAAACGAAAGAACTTCAAGCGAAACAAGCTTGTGAAATACATAAAAAGCAAAAAACGGGCGGTACTTAAGGCCAGAACAGCATAAGAGCAATGGTACTACCAACAGTCACACTCGGAATACCAGCGTGCAAGAAGCACATCCGCATCATTGTCCTCAGCTTCATCGCCATCATTCTCATCTGCATGGTGAGGGCGGTGATGCCGACGAGAACCATCCCTGAACCTGTTTGCTCGGATGAGAGGCTTGGCTTGGCTGCTGTGGGGTGTTGGGGGGGCCACTGACGCGGCGAAGCGGGAGACCACATCTACACATAGGCGTGTGCGTGTGCACATATGTGGAAGGAGTAAAGTTCTCTATACTGCATGCAACGCACATTTTGTAAGCAATGTCTCAATTCCCTTTCCAGGATGCGCCGGTGCCCGAGGGTCCCAGCGACTCCATCAGCTGTTTGCGCTGGTCCCCTGCAGCGAATATTTTCGCGTGTGGCTCCTGGGACAAGAGCTCCTGGTCTAAACTCAGATCACGGCCGGTGCTTTCCTGGATGCTCCATTCAGTCCATGTATTCTTGTGCGCGTTCATCCCAAAATCCTACCTGCCGATTTCAGAGGTGTCAGAATCTACGAGGTCACTGCACAGAACATCGCTCCGCGTGCCCTGCATGCAGCAAGCATTTAGCCGGATGAATGCAACCCAGAAAATAGAGACTTCAGCCTTGCTGAAGGAATGGCTTACAACCATGAAGCACCAGTGCTATGCTGCGCTTTCTCCAAAGACGGCCAGCGAGTCTTCAGCGGAGGCTGCGACAACAAGGTGCAACATGCAATAGCGCATTGTGAGGAAATACTCATGAGCCGCACTATCTTGTAAATCGGGCATCCGGCAGGTGGTTGTAAGAGGGAAGACCCAAGGGCACTGGTAAGAATCAAAGATGAAATGGCAAGCTTCGTGTAGGGGTAGGGTTTGATACCCACCGTCCGAACGTCGCTTGCTTCTGAAGCTAAGGTGAAAATGAAAGTCTTGCAGACTCAGCAAGAACAGCAGATAGGTGGCGGGCTGAGTTCAACACATGCCGACCTCTCGCCGAGCGACGGAATTGCCGCATGAGTTCGTAGAGCCGGTCTCTGCTGCACGTGAGAAAAGCTTCCAGGTCAGCATGATGGGCCAGTGAAAGAGGTCTTCGTCGTGGATGAGATGAACATGGTTGTGTCAGGAAGCTGGGACAGGACACTCCGACGCTTGCCGGCACTCTGGAAAGCTGCTAGGGCCGCTACTGCAGACTGTATATGACTGTATAGGGCTTGGGAAGGTGCTTGCAGGGGGTCTCCGAACTTGGGTCCTGGAAATCTGGAAAGGTTTCTGGAACCTTCAGCAACCAACTCCTGTGGCCACTCTGCAGCTTCCGGAGCGACGCTTGGCTCGACGATACCAGTGGCCCACATGGAAGGCTGGCGCAGGCTGTTTGTTTGGCTGCTGTCCATCCAAGGAGTATACACGATGGATGTGAAATATCCCTTGCTTGTAGTGGGTTGTGCGGAGAGGCATGTGCCTCTTTGCTGCAAGCCCTGCATTCTCGCCCATCGCCTCGCGGCCTCTGGAAATTTGAGAAGCTGCTGCAACTGATGTGCATTGACCCAAACCGTCTGCTCCACAACGATCCTGTCCTCGCGCTGTGATTTTTTGCCATGTGCACGTTGTGCGAAGGCTTTCTCCCCTTAGCAGTTTACCAGCGCACTTGTCTCCCTGATCGACCCGATGGCCAATGACGGTATCCTGCGATATGTAATGTATTTGTCTTCGGGCAGATAGAAAAATTGTCGGAGGGCCAGGGTTGCACAAGTGGTCTCATAGAGCATATCAAAGACTCAGTTACCGTCTGATTCTGTGAAGGGCTTTCGAAATCCATCTGCCTGACGTGGCATTATTACATATGAGTGATGTCCGAAAATCGCTGCGGAGATTCAAAGGTAGAGGATAACCATATGCTACTGTACCTCTAATGGCGTGCGCATGGAACGACTACTGCCGAGGCTTGTATACAATCTGCAAGCCATCCAGCAGAATCCAGCACCATATAAACAGGGCCAGACGGCTCTCAAAATGCAAACACGAGTCGTTTGCCGCTTGGCCGCTCTCACTCGGCATTTTGCACGTGTTGCTAGGTGAAAGAGCTGTGCATGACCTCGTTACCGAGGCTGCTTTCCTGACAAGACAGGATATGCAGTTGGATCGATAGAAGGTCGATGCTCAATCGCCCACATAGAGGACACAAGCAAAAACTTTGCCTTCAAGCGTCTTGGAGAGCATGAGTTTGGCAACTTTTAGTAGCGCTGCATTATGTCACTGACGTTGTGATGACAACGGCGGAATCAAGGTGCCACCGCACGAACACAGAAATCTATGCAGTGAACGACATCGACTTCCACCCACAGATGGGGCGAATATGGCTGCAGTCAGGATTTATGAATAACTTGGCGTTCGGCTTGCTTCCGGTGACAGCCTTCTCAAACGTTTGCTTTTTCTCCTGCCTACGCAGCACATGCTGCGCCACTCAAGCATCCGCTGCTTGAGGACATTTGCTACCTGTGGCGGTGATGGCACATTTGTGTATTGGGACAAGGAGAACAGAGAGCCAGCTGAATGGAAGGGCTCAGGGCTCACATGAGGCATGTTTGATCACGGGTCGTTCGGAGGCAGGTAAAGCAACTCACGGGCGATGGCAAAGCGAGTGCAAACTGAGGACAGCGCCTCAAAGCCTTCAACTCCTGTAATTATCCGTTAACTGCCGGGAAGTTTAATGCACCTTGGATGCACAAGCAAACGATGGAACGTGGCACACTTCTGCTTGGAAGCAGACGTGCAGCTGGGTTCTTTTGACATACTCTTGCTGCCAGGCACCCGGAGACATGTATGCAACTGGGTCGAAATTCAGATGCTATCGCTTCCCGGCAGACTGCGAGTCTTGCGGCACGAGTTCCTAGGACAGATAAGCTAAGCAAGACGCCTGGCCTGTCAAACATGGCAGGGTCCACAATCAGATCCATCTTTGCTTGTGGCGAAGAATTCGCCGGTCGACCGAAGTCGTCTAAAAGGGGAAGTCCATACTCGTAGGAAGGGGCACGGGAGCCTCACTTCGGGGGAAACAGTCAGCTCAGTTGGGGAGGTTTTGGTTCATGTTCTTCAAGCTTGAACCAGGCAGGGTTTCGTTGGTCAAAACGTTCTTCCCCAAGCCCTGGCCTTCCCCCTGCTTTGTTTGGGTCGAAATTCGACTGAGATGACGTGCCTGCCGCATGGCCACGAAGCACTGAGGCCTATGCTGTGTCGTATGATTGGAGCAAAGGCCATGAGCAGAACCATCCGAGCTTGCCGAAAGGCGTCCAAGCCTGAGGCTGATAGCAACGTGCTGCGTCCCAAAGCGGCTTAGCGGCAGTCCCTAGCACGCCACGAAACCCGTGAGGTCTTGGTCCATAAAGTCCAGGCGATGGAGGTTCAACCAAAGGCGGGCTCCGCAAATCAGCGCGCCAAGAGATGAGAGGCCGGGCACCTTAATGGAGACAGTGTAGACAGCACCGTAGCCCTTGTCTACTGCTGCCGTTGGCGAGATGTACACGAAGGATCTACACCTAGTTCCCATCGGGCCGTTGCATGGGATGGGGTTTCCTAAGTCCTAAGGACCCGAGCACCCGAGATGCATAGAAGACCCAACTCTCCTTGCGACTGATGAGGGGCGACGGCTGCTCTGAGGCCACCTGAAGCCCCCTGATGCAGCATGGGGCATGGTGGCACAGTGGAGCACGTCTAAACTCTAGACTCTAGAATACTCTAGACCAACTAAACGGAGAGAATGTCGAGAACGGGCTTCAGCTCGCTGGGTAGGGTTGCGGTGCCAAGACAAAGAGATGTGTTTCACCTGTTAGTGGAAGACTCCGAGCGCGGCGCCGCGCATTCTGCAGCAGGGTCGAAGAAGAGATGCGACACGTGTTTGCCGGCAATGCGTGCAGGTCACGACTGCATGGCATTCAGTGCAGGAATCCAACCAACATGGGCTCCAGTCCTTGGTTGCCGAAAGCAGCCGTCGGCTGCACACGAAGCCTTTCTGACGGAGCCGTTTTGGCCTGAAAATGGACGGTGGCATGATGAACTGAGCAGTATTTTCGGGCACTGCCAGTTTTGGCAGCTTTTCTTCACATATCCCAGCATGTTGCCAGCCATCTCGTCACACACAGCAAGGTACAGAGTGTTGTTATTACACCTTAGATTTCCGAGCATTGGCTGAAAAGCCCACCATGAGCGAACTTGCTGACAGCCTCGAAGGCCTTGAGTTGATGATTGACTGAGTCTTGCGAGAGCAGGAAGTGAGGGACATGGATTTCCAGACAGCGGTGGCAGGCACAACACAGATGAAAGTTGTTTGCTGCGCCCTTGATAAGGCGAATTAGATAGCAGCCGCTCGCCAGTCACCGATGAAGCTGTGATGTCTATTATCGAGCAGATAAGCCGCTCGACGGTGACTTCGAGCTCTTCGCAGGTCTTGTCACGCCTGCAGATCAGCAGCTGCAAGAAAACACGTGCTAGCTGCTAGCATTCTGTACTTGCATGGCAGACATGTCAGCATGTTGCAGCCAAGGTGTCCTGACTCCGGAGCAGAAGGAGAAAGTCCGCAGAGCAATTCTGTTTGGCAGCTCCGCAAATCTGTTCAAGGACTCCGGTAGAGAATCAGGCAGCGTGTGATGTTTCATTGCTTTTTCACCCGAGTATTGTGCTGCGACTTACGAGAGGATGTTGATCGATCGGCGTTCTTCATGAGCCGTGGCTTCATCTCAGGGTTTGTTGCACATTTGTGCCTTCGAGACCGTTTATGCCCAGTATATTCAACTGCTACGGTGTCTGGAGTTCGGAGCCAAACTGCAGGGAGGTACCAGGTAGCAGGCTGAAGCTTGCTATAGCTTGCTCAAGCTGAAGCAAGCCCACATGACTCAATCTGAACATCTTAAGCCAGAGCGTAAAGCGACAGTTCTACAAGCAGGGGCCTGGATTTCCTCGGCCCTGCCTGTTGGCACATGCACACTGATCGCCACTTCGAACGAGAGAAGCTCTCAAAAGCCTGAGCACATCCAGGAATCGTCCTAGCTCCATTCCTCGTTGGCGCTCCGCATCGCCCAAGGAGTCCGACAGATCTCTATAACGTTGCTGCCTGTCTATGCGTGTTGTCTATGTAACCTTTTTGAGTCGTATATTACTGCATACTGATGTTGTATGTATATGTGTGCATACATATAGCAATAAATACATATATATATATATACTGACACACCAACATACAGACAAAATGTATATACACACATACAATCGTACAGATGTGTTCTCTATCCCATCTGCCTGCGCACCTACTAGAGTGCCCTGTGTGCATGTAAGCATTTTCGATCCACATGTGCACGTAGACATGTATGTGGGTGTGCGTCTGTGCGGGCCGTAGATATTTTAAACCGTATAGGTTCGCATGCAGCTATGCATGTGTGCGCAAGTATGTATGCATGCATGCATGCATGCATGTCTGTGTGTATAAATGTATGCATGTATGGTATGTCACCAAGTAGTTGAATCTAAAGAAAGTCTATTCGTGGACAGAAAGTGCGCGGGCTAGTGATACTACTCACCACAAGTAGTACTAGCGACACGACTAACTGGAAGGAACAGGACGCAAACTGGGAAGTGGTCAGTTGATGCTTGTGCTGGCAAAATCAGTTGTGCCAGTAGTAGTAGTAGTAGTAGTAGTAGTAGCCGCTGCGGCTGCGTGGTGCAAGCTGTTTACTCTAATGATCTCTGATACCTCTTGCTTCCCTACGGCTGGCCTGTCTCTTCTCAACCGGTGTCCTTTGTGTGTTGACACATTAATCTTGAGGGTTGTTATTTAGGGGTGGTTGATCGAATCTACGAGCCCCGAGTCCCCCTTCCCCTGCCCTGCCCTCCCCTGCCTCTGCTCTGGCGAAGTGAACGAAGTATGAAGTAAAGGAGACAGCCACGGAATGAGTTTAGAGCGAAATACGTAAAGGAAGATGTTTGGGTGATTTGGCCGCCTCAGACGGTGTGGGGTGGGAGAGAAAAGAGAAAGCCGTCTATAGTCGGGCTCCAGCGGCGAATCGTCATGCTACGATGCACTCGAAACTGCATTGTCGCCTCATGTTTCCGCTTATGTGCTATTTTCCGGCGGAGGGAGTACATAACACGGCTTGCGTCTGTATGATTGCAGGCGTGTACATGTAACTGTCCCGGTCTGCAGGCGGAGCTGAAGATACAGCTTATATACAGACGGAGTGGAGAGAGGCTCGACTGTCTGTGCTGAAGGAGGGAGGGAGCGGGAGGGGAGGGCGGTGAGGGTGTGCGGCGCGAGAACGCGAGGGTGCGGGAGGGAGGGAGGGAGGGAGGGAGGGAGGGGGCGGGAGGGATCACAGGAGCGGACAGCGGGTACTGGAGCTTCGCCGATGCAGACACAGCCCTCCGGTTGCAGATGGAAAATGCATCTTTGCAACAGCAGCCGAAGCCACTGCAAGACCAGTCTTTGACAGTGTGTTCCGGTGAGGGACGGCGGCTACAACCGCTATCTCAGCAGTCCGGCGCTCGGAATTTTCGGACAGCTTACAAGCCCACAGAACTAGTCTTTTCAGCAGTACCAAGTCGGATGCCTCGGGATGCTGCTTTTGGCTCAGGCTGTAGTCTTGTTATTGGTGTTTTTCGTTCTGATTGCGAGATACGTTGTCTGTGCTGTCCGATCTGTCCGCGACCTGCCATGGCACTGCGAGCAGTGCTTTCCTTTGTGCTTGCTTCTTGCTGGTTGCAGCTTGCCAGAAGTACACGCCTCAGTGGCCAAGCACATTCGTCAGCAGACGGGGCGAGTGGAGAACGGGGAAAGTGCGAGCTGGACACCGCAGAATTCTATTGGGAATACGACAAGATCGCTGTGTCTGGTCTTTCTTTCGCTGTTATGGCATGCATGCTCACTCTAAGTGTTTGGAGTGCGACAAACCCGGCCAAGCGACACTTTGCGGTGTTCGTCAATGCAGTGATTGGAGTGGCTTGCATCTTTCTACCGTACATCGCCGGGAACCTTGCAAAGTCGAAGCTTGTGGCCATTACCTGCCATCAGTGCCATTGCGACGAGGCGGAAAGGAGCACTGTTGTAGACCAAGCCAGCTTGTGCATCCTGTTCGCTATCATGTCCAAGACCGCGGTGGCAGCTAACGTCTTGGGCATCCTGGATTTGATCGTCTGTTCAGTCGTGTGCTGCACTGGAAGAATCACCAAGAAGAGTAGCGAGGAAACAAGCACATAGCCCGAGCCCTACAGCTGCGAGGCATTCTGCAAGGCTGACTGCCACGATTCAGCTAGGACAAGCCCAGAAGGTTTGCGACAGCGCGGTGAAAAGCATGCAGGAGCTTTATCAGCTCTCGGCTAATTCACTTGCTGTATCATCCTGGTGGTTTCTCGGTGCCTCTTTCTTGTTGGTGCTCAAGAGTCCAGTCTCTGCTGTGAAACGCTGATTTCGATGCCTGTTGTGCGATGCTGCAGTAAGGTCCTGACTGCAGCCCTAGATCAGGTTCTCGTGTTCTGAAGTGTCTTGGCAGACACCGGCTCTTGCTTCGGGAGCACAGCACCGTAGCAAGGAGCTAGAGCGGCTTGATATGAGATGATAAATGTGTGGATGGCTTCGGGTGAGGCGAACGATCAGCAGCACAGGCCACCCAATCGACGACCTGCTACGGGAACGGGGCCATGTGAATCGCTACTTGGTGGTCGTCTCGTCTTTGTCATTGGACTGGAAGGACTGGTGCCTTCAGCTGTCAGTTCCGCTCGCAGATGTCTTTTCCGCTCTAAATACAAGGAGCTCATCAAGATCCCTGGTGTTTCTAACTACGAGCTTCGACTGCTTTGGCACTTGTACTTCTTGCGGTCACAGGCAATGCGGATAGCATCTTGCCCGCAAATGGCATCCGCAGCTTTTCGGGCCTCCTTTCCTGCCTCATCCCTGAGGTCATGTGTACTTCCCAGTACATACCTGCTCTTGGCTTAGTACTGCTTCAACTACGACTGCTTTGATCGTGGGTTATATTGCACAGCCCAGGAAGCACTGATCAACTACTACTTGCGTTACCTGCCGAGTGATGTTTCGCCAAAAGAAGCTAGAAGTCGTTTGACAACCATCGCTTGCAACGTGTCTCGGCTCGTGGTCAGCTGCTGTCGTGCCTTGACCCTGCGAGAAGCCTGGAGACTCAGGACATGACCGCGGCCAGTGTCACCAACAAGTTGCTCAGCAGGAAGCGCGCTTTGAATCGCATTCGCGATGCTATCGAGCCCGAAAAGGCGGCGATGACGTGTTTCAACTCCACAGCAACTTCGGCAGCATTGGATGCAACAGGCTTTCACCACACGTTAACCTGCATTCAGAGTTGGACAAAGGATTCGGAAGTGCAGCTGGCCGCTCCGCTCGAAGAACCGTTCGCAATTCGGTGTGGGCACAAAGATGGCCACATTTACTCTCTGTTCTCTCTGGCAGCTCTCCTCTTTCGAGCTCGAGTCCAAGGCATTTTACTGATACCTTGCGCTTGTCTCCCAGGCAGAGGAACTCGGAATTCCTCTCTTTGGCACTGACACCCAGGGAGCTTTCTGGGGAACGAAGACAGGCAACCGGCAGGTCTTCCGAGTCCCTGGGCAGTGCAGGGATGTAGCAACCGCATGTCCTGCGAGGGGGCGCATGGGGGCGCAGCCCAACAGGTATTTCATGAAATGAATTCTGAGGATGCAGGAGTGCTGCACCCAGATGGCAGCTATGATCTCATTTACACTGAGGAGGAGCTGTGCGAGGACTTGCGCTGCGAGCGTGCATCCCAACTCCTAGCATCACGCAGGGCAGATTCCGAATGAAGTGTCTCTACCCGACTCTACCATACTCTACCCACTTGCTTCAGGAGATCCTTTCCTTGCTGAGGCGCTGCCCTTCAACAAAGAAGGCCACCGTAGCACAAACCTGCAATTGCCCGCCTCTAGTTGGATTTGAGTAAGTCCTTGGACCAGTACCGCGGCAGACCTCTCCGAGTGTCTGTGTCAAAAACTGCCCGCCTCTGGGGATCTCTGGGGGCAGCGCAGGTCATGGTAAAGCTGAACGACTCATTCAGCGGAGAGGGAAATGCTGTCCTTCGCGTAGATAGTGAACTCGTGGACAGTCTCAAGGAGCGGCATGCAATAGCATGTACTGTAAAGCATTCCAGCGCCTCACTTGTCCGTAAGCGACAGGAGTCCGACGAACAAGCCATGGATGTTATTTTCGACAGGCACCGAGCCGATTGCGTGGCTGATGCCACGGCTGAACTAAGCTGATCGCCGTTCGCATCGTGTTGGCATTGACTTGATTTGGCAAGACCACATGGAGCAGTTCGACAGGCTGGAGAATTCTCTAGAGTATGTGGCACCAGGACACTGCTGCCCGAATGCTGCGCCAGTAGGAGCAATAGCAGCCCCTTAATTTGTTCCACTCCGGTGTCGGCAGGACTGACCTGGGACAAATACTACCAGCAGTTCCAAACTTTGGGTGGCATCTGCGAACTTTTCATAGAAGGCTGCTTGCTTACATGGCAGCCGGAGTCTTGTGCTCCATAGTCATGGGATGTGTCGCCTTGCGCATGCCGCAATCCAAAGCATGCTCCAGGAATCTCCGTGAGACTCTCTCATGCATGCACGGCCTGCGTGCTGCTGCAGTGCGAGGTCAGAGCTCTGCCAAGACATCGCCTTCGTGCCAGGCCTTCTTGAATGCAGACGGCAGTGTCAGGACACCTTCCTGGAACAGGGCAGTCTAAATACTTCCACACTCATCTCGTGGAGAGCCCATTCTCACGTACGCAGTGCGGCCCAGAATCGCATTGCTGTGACCAGATTACCGGACTCTGAGCCATAAGCTAGGATTCTGGCCACCCACGAGCAGATGCTGAACGGTCAGATCTACACAGGTTGGCTGAGCACACGGAAGTGTCTACCAGTCTACCTCTTTGTATCAATTTGTTATCTTCTTGGAATTTTTCTCCTGGCAACGAAGCAGGAGCTAAGCTGTTGTAGAATGCAGGATGCACATTCCCTGCGAAAGAAGAGTATTCTGCAGAGCTCGTATCGCTGACAAAGAAGATCGGCCAGGACCTGCAGAATCTGAGCAACAGGACAGATTAGGGCGGATGTGCGTGGATGTTTATGCTTTTCTGCAGGAGCTCGTTGGTCGGCAGGTTGTGGGCTACATAGCTGTTGACTTCGTGTCTGTACGACAAAGCGATGGAAGCTACAAGCTCCTTGGATGCCATGGCAAAGAACCAGTTCCCAACTGTGGCTGCGCGCTTCGAGGGCGCTTCCTGCCAATTTCGCAGACAGCTCTTAACATTCTATCTCTTCTGCCATGTCAGGCATTGGGCAATAGAAGTAAACGTGCGTATGGGCGGCACCACACTTCCAATCATGACATTGCTTCCTGGCTGTTTGCTTGCCTGTGTGTGTGCGCGTGTGTGCGCGTGTCGTCATCGCTGATGCGCTGCGATGCGACCTTGAGTGAAGCGAGCCGCGAGCCCATCCGAGGAATTTTCTTTGCCGTGATGGGCGGCTGAACGAGCAGACCTCCGAGTTCATCGCAAGCGATGGAAAGCCGAGGTCGACAGCCTCAGCTGCAGAGCCCAAAGTGTGCCACAGTCCTCCTGTAAGAACCGAAGCCTCATCGTCTCGGCTTGGAGTCGGTTTGCGTCGGCTCAGCCTCAACTGCAGGTTTTATGTGGCGTCGGACACACTCAGCGGCATGGACAAAGATGGCACTGCTTGTGGGGCAGCACAAGACCATGATGGCAGATTTTGCTTCGAAATCCTGAGGAAAGAAGACTTACAAGGGCTTGGTCATTGAGGACTTGCTAGCCATCATCGAACGCATCCCGACTGAAAGCTGTTGCCGCCCTGCAGTAGGCTGGCCGTACTGGCCTAGAAACTTGAAGTTCCTGCCGGGGTTCCCAAGAGATGTCTTGCCGATATCAGGACACTCGTCAGAGATTGAGTGGAACAAACGGCCGGGTGCTCCCGAAACAGGCCGGTGGTCAGCTGCGTACGTCCGGTCAGATGTTTAAAGCCCCCCGAAGGCACGATTTTCCACTTGGTCACGCTTCTGTCCGAGCTCGGGAAGTGTGGCTGCGTTTGCATCGGCCGGTCGTTGGAGGAAGCCCAACAAATCTTTCGACGTGTTCAGGAGAGCTGCTGTAGCAAGGGGCTGCATCCAAGTGACTGAGTTCGATTTGGCAGCCTGAAAGACTGAAGGTTGTTATCCGACATGCTGCCCACGATTTGCAAAATAGGGTTGCATATTTAAGTTGACCACGGTAGGAAGTGCACGGGCCCACTGCCCGCTAAACATGAATCATGAACCGCAACGAAACCACGAGAAGCCTCGTATCGTGTTTGCATGAATCTCGAAGTGTTGGTTGTCAGGACATCCTGGATGCAGAAGCGCGGCCTGTGGAGGCATGTGCTCCTGATCATGACGCAGTGGCGTCGAAGCTTCTGTGCTCATGCTACAGCTGGCTTAGCACGTTGCTTTGTTCTTCCTGGCCTGAAACGTTGATAGCCGCCGTCTCTCTTCCAAATGAGATCCATTAGTGAGTGTCGTCAAAAAGCGTACTGCTTTGAGCTGCGACTGAGATGCCAGATCTGACAGGTGCCTCCGACAGAAAAAGCCGTGGCAGCTGAGTTAGACCTGGTTATCGAAGAGCTTGAAGGCGACGAAGAGGACGGGATGACGTGTTCCAGTCGGTACGGGTAGCTCAACGGGAACCCCAGTCGCTTGACTGTAAATTCCCGTCTGTGGTTGATTTGAGGACGACGCAGCTGACATGCTGAACTGACTTTGGGGGCTGGGTTTGAGGCAGCTACACCTACAGTAGCTTCGTTTTAAGAGACGGCGCCCCCTCACACGGGAAATTTTGCGCCTCAAGGTTCGAAGGATTTGCCCGTCTGTTTGACAGAGATGTCCGGCTAGCATAGACGGAGAGACTCAGGCATTGTTGCATTATCCTCAGAACCCCTGCAAGCCTGTCGCGGCATCGCAGATTCGATGCTTTCACAGGTTTCGTTTTGTGCTGGACCATCCGGCGGCGTCTTTTGTGAACGCAAAGGATAAAAATGATAAAAACAAGGATTTCTCGAGCCATTGTGAACTTGATCATGAGAGGTCATGGCAGCATTTCGGAACCGTCGTGCGGCTCGAGCTAAATTGGATAATGGCTTACACGTAGCTTCCAAGTTCAATGAGACATGTTGGTGGAACTCGACAAACATTGAACAGGCCTGTGCCCAGCCAGAAAATTACCGGCCAGAGTGAGAGTCGAATTACCGGCCATTTGCGTGGCATGGTGAGATTGATCGCTGCACTGCCACATCAAAGCTTTATCTGAATCTCGTAGCTCGTAGGATGGTGTAACGGCAGCCAGTGTGTAACGTCCCCCCACCACAATGACACCAGACACAAGACTCTGTGGCGAGTTGCGAGGCTTGCCGTGACACACTTGAGTGCGGCATGCTCTCTACAGTTGCACCGCCGGTTGAGGTGGTTTGTGAATCAACACCCACTGGTTGGTGTTTGTGCCAGGCAGTCACCTCGATGTACCGGCTGTCTTGCAGCCCCAGGAGGTTCAAGGATGCATTGGCAAGGGTCACCTTTCCGGAGTTGCTATTGCCTCTCATTTGAGTCCGAGGTTCGCGAACAGCGTGGCACCTCACCAAGTACTGAAAACCGCTTGCGTTGGGACAGCAAGGCCTTTGATGTTGTGATTTCTGTGTTTCCAACAGACCGACCATGACCCTGCCCAGATCGACATAGAAGTCGACCATGCTGCCCAGAAGCTCATGACGGTCAGCTGCACAGCGAAGGTCGCAGAGGCCGTGGTAGCAGCACTGACAGATGCAGGCCCGGCCGTGTCTTGGCTCCGATCCGACCGTTTTATCCCAAGCACCCGCAGGATCCAGGTTGCAAAGATGTTCAACCGCGTGCATCTTACCGAAGGCTGTCAGAGCGCACTAAGAGCCATCGAGCGGCATCTCATCTCTCGGCATGCCGGCTACAGGAAAGCAGGTCGCTTGCTGCCTGCTTGAAGCAGGAGGATGAAGTAACAGCAGTGGCTTCGCAATCCTTCTTGGACCCTCCGGCCTTGCACAGTCCGTGTGATGCAGCGCATGCAGCACAACTGATTGCATCAAGATCCCGCCCGAAAAGCCACACAGTGGGGAGTAGAGATGTTTTGGATGCAGGATGCCTGCTCCAGCCTCGGGGCAGTCCTGATCTCGCTGGCTTCGGCCATGAGCCAAAGCCTGCTGCTCCCTTTGGAGCCTTGATGAATTGAAGCTAACACTTGCTTGCACAGCTTGCACGACTAGTGACTGGTGATGCTACAACGAGGTGTAGCAAGGCCTTAATCATAAATGGTTCTGATCTTTGTTCATGCCTCCCCGGCCAAGGAGTCTTTTCATCGTGGTGCCAGTGCAGATCACCTCAGGAGCCGATCAGCGATGTCGAGTGACACAGCGAGGTATGCACGAACGCCCGCAGGAAGAAAGCCGCGCTGGACGGACTTCGCGAGCAAGAGCTGAGCTGCTCCAACTCCGTGACCGAATCCTTGCAGAAACGAGACAGAGCTCGTGTTGGCCTACAAAGTGCCATGCGGGAGCAGGAGTGCCGGAAAGCCTGGACAAACCTACCTATACATACATACATGCACACATACGTGTATGCATGTATGTAGGTATGTAGGTATGTAGTAGGTAGGTAGGTGGGTAGGTAGGTAGGTAGGCAGGCTGGTATGTTGGTATGCTGTTGGTATGTAGCATGTATGTATGTATGTATGTAGGCATGTAGGTAGGTATGCATGTATGCATGTATGCATTTATGCATGTATGCATGTATGTATGTATGTATGTATGTAGGTATGCATGCATGCATATATGCATGCCTGCATGGATGTGATATGCATGTATGTGTGGTAATGAACCGTCATGCAATGCAATGCGATGCGATGGTATGCAGTGTAATGTGATGCAATGTAATTGATGCATGGTTGTAATGTAATGCAGTGTGTAATGTGATGCAATGTAATGTAGTGGAATGTTTTGTGGCGAATGTAACCAACATGCATGCATGTATGCACTATGTGTGGGTGTGACATAATGTAATCAAGTCATGCAGCGATTGCGTTTAATGTAAACACGTATGTATGCTGCTAGCAGGCATGGGTCAAGTATGTCTACAGTATGTGTGTGTGTATTTTATGTGCTTTCATTTATGCCTGTTGGCATGCAGGCATTTGCTTATGTATGTATCTATGTACGTACTTATGTACTTATGCGTGCAGGCAAAAGTCAGCGTGGAGCAACATGCACCAGCCACGTAGTTTGCAAAGTCGTAATTTCAGCTTTTGCGGGAGCCTTTTCCTTGACACTTGTGGGTCCACATGGTCTTCAAGCGCTTCAGACCTGTGCGTCTGATTCAGGTGTAGAATCTGGGTTAGGGTGCAAGATTACCTTTTCGAGATCAGTCTTCTGCGAAGTCGCTGCATTTGGAACACATGTTATGATGGCTTTCCAGACAAGGCGGCTAAGCGCCGCTAGGCTCTTTGGCGATTGAACCCTGCAACGTGCAATCACCAGGTCACCAGGTCTTACTAGGCGCGAACGGGCAAGTGGACTCGAAACATTAACCCGTCGCCGCACAAGCCAAGACCCTGAGTTCTGAACCCTTGAGTTACCGACCGTCTTTCACAGATCGAGCTTTGACCGTTAGCACATGGGCTTTGCATGGCATGTGTGCGGTGCCATGCGACGAGCTCTCGGCGGCAATCCCCTGCCTCAATCGTCGTGGCCGATTCTGGGCTGTTCAAGCCTCTGGGATGGGGTACAGGATCACGAATTGTGGAGCTTTAAGTCAAGTCTTCAAGATTTGTGGATTCCCGTCCACATTTTGGTTGGTGCAGCTTTCGTGCGCTTGTGGCTGTTCCGTTGCTAATCTGCCGGCTGCTCGACCGAGATAGACCAGTGGATAGATAGGTAGATTAGATTAGATTAGATGCGGTTAGACTAGACTAGACTATGTCGGGTTCACTACGCAAACAATCACGAACACATAGGTAGACAGAAGATAAGCTAGATAGATAGATAGGCAGATCGATAGATAGTATAGATAGAATGATAGAGAAGTGGATAGATATCTAAACAGCTAGATAGACACCTATGAGTTAGAAAGATAGACAGATCGATAGCTAGGTATAGATAGTTAGGTAGATAGATAGACAGATAGATAGATAGACAGATAGATCGTATAGATAGAATGATAGAGACATGGATAGATATCTAACAAGCTAGAGACACGTACTAGTTAGATAGATAGATAGATAGGTAGGTAGGCAGGTAGATAGATAGATAGAGTGATAGCTTAGTAGGTGGATCGTACATAGGAAGATAGGAAGTGAGGTACTAGCAGATAGGTAGAGACAAAGATAGACAGATAGATGACAGATGTATGGTCGGGTGCTGAGAACAAAGCAGCGCTGCTCTGCATGGGCTCAAGCTTTTGGCGCAGATGCCAGTAGCAAGTCAGCAGTTTAACAAGAGATCTGTGTGACATAGCTGCTACATGACGTCCAGTCTACAGCCTCGTCACACCTCAAAAGCTGGCCAAACCCTCGTGTGCCTCAGCCGATGACATTCCCGAAAATTCTTGGTAAACCTGCTATCCACAAAGGAACAGAGCTCGAGCTCCCCCAGCCTGGTTGTTGTGTAGAGCTCTGTAATTGGCATGCCGATTCCCAGTGGGGGGCAGCATCGGCGCCCCACCCTACCACGTGCCTCAGCTTTTGGTTGTGGTTTGGCAGTCTTCGTGGCGCCGTGAACTTGAGTCGTAGGAGGAAGCTGTCGCTGATCATGCGTGTCGGTACAAGCACCAGCCAAAGGGCCTGTGCAGAGCTGAAATGTCAGATGTTGCCGCTCGAGGACCTTTGGATGTAGCTTAGGTTCAGACTAAATGTGCCTGCCACTCCTCGTAACCTCGTACCGTCGAAGCATGTCGAAGCCTCTGAAGCAGCGGCGCTCGACGCCGAGCACCTCAAGTCGGGGACGGATCTCATCATGTGTGCAGACATCAGACTCGTCTCGAGGTAACCTCAGTGGTGCACAGACTGAGGCATTTCAGAAGATGAGCCCGGACCGAATCGGGCATGGACGCACTGGCAGCAGTCCCTGCGAGAGCTTCACCAGCAGCAGCAGCTTTGTCTCAACAGTGCTTTTCTGCTTTCAAAGTAGTGGTGTTGCGCAAGAATGGTGTTGCGCACTTTCACAATGAGCCTCCACCCAAAGTGTCCAGAATTCAATTACACGCTACTTGTCGGATTTACTGTTTGATCCTGCATTGGCTTCATGTTGCGCGGAGACTGTTGCGGCTTCGCACGTAGGCATAGGAAGAAGCCCATGCGTGTTGTTGTGCTGCCGTGCCCTGCCCATTTCGCCGCTCGCAGTTCCCGTTGGTAGTGGAAGAATTTGCCCGAGGATACGAACAGTTTTCGGTCGAGATGACTTCGAACCGTTGGAATTTGGCTGACGAAGGTGCTTAATGTCAACCTGATTGTGTCCTTCCCATGTCTTCGGGGAGATTTAGGAAATAAGCGTCTTCCAACACGTAATCCAGCAACCGCCGTGCTACTCTCATGAACCTTCTGCTACATGCCCCCTTCTCGGCCTCTGGATTCCGCTTCCAGTGACTAGAGATGTTGATTGGTGCTG